GCTAACTGCTGGGATATAGGTGTTTATTTAACAAACACTGTATTATATTATCATTTATATGGGACTTTCATTTATAAATGCACTATATCCCATTTTTCATGAAACGTTAACTAGTAAAAAAATTAAGAAGCCAACTTTTAAGAAAGAAATCATCCATCTTTCCCAGGCCCTCACCCTTGCTCCCTCACCTCCAATCCTTTCCTCACAGGCCTTGCAGTTTTTCCATGAGCTCAGGAACAGGATCAAATGCCATTATAAAATGAAAACTCAATCAGAATACTTGCTGGAAAAAAGAGCACACTGAAGCTTCCAGAATCAAGTCCTATGAGGAACCTCTGTGGGCTGGTTCCTCCCTTCCCCTTCTCTTCCTGTGACTTCTCTCTGTACCTCCACTCTAGCAATGCCAACTGCCTCAGCTCTATGTGTCCAGGAGGCTGTTCCCCTCCCATTCGAATGCATGTGCTTTTTACCAGTGTTTGGAATATGACTTCCCTCCCACCCCTGCCTACCTACCTGGGAGCTGATCACCTGTGGAAACCTGGCTCTGGATTTATCGTCTAAGAACCTGTTCCCATGTCACACACTCCCTCTCTCTAGGTAGACCTGGGAGCTTGCACCTTTCCTCAGCTGCAGCCTGCCGTCCGGTGTGAACTCCTCTCACTGGTTGTACACCCTGCCTTGGCCCTTGTCAGTCCTGCTAGAAGACACTAAATGTTGGCAGGCAAAACGATTTGTATACCCAGCACCTGCACAGGCCCAACACTACAACTGACATGGCACTGAGTAAAGCTGACTGTTTTAAACGATGCTTTTACTGCTCCACATTCTGTGCAATTTCCAAAACAAACACATACAATGAAACAAACACTCCATGCAATCCCACAGCACTCACAGCCAATCTTTTTCTCCTGACAGAGATCAGAGTCCAAGGCTGACCTAACTGGCTTAAGGTTGTGCTCTGTGCAATACTCAATCACACTCTAAAACTGCAAAGGGATATTTTGCCTTCGTTGTTGCTGCATTATTCAAGAAAATTCCTAAGTTCCTCAATTCCCTAAAACCTTCCTGTGTGGAAAAATGCTCATTCCCTTAAGCCAAACATTTTCCTCCTTTTCTGTAGAAAACAATCATTTCCTTTCAGTGTTTCTTGCTTCTGATTTATAATACATAGACATAAAAATAATATCCACAGTTCTTAAATTGTCAAGTTCAAAGCTTCACGGACACTGGTGCCAAAAGTGGTGATATGACTATAAACGTAGGTGTGTGTGGTTATGTACACATTTGTGCAAGTATATAGGAGCTCTATGTATGTGTGGAACGTGCACTTTTAACCTGCCACTAATAAGCAGAAGATATGATAACATTGTTTCCCCCTTCTAAGTACATTTGGACATCAATGTGAGGCAAATACACAACGTGCAACCTGCTTACAGCATAAGTTTTTCTTACAGCAAATCTGGTATGTAAAGACTTACATTCACTCTTTCTTGTCTTAATGTTGTGGGTGAACGTCATGTACACCAACGAGCAGGTACTAAAGGAGGCAACAGGGTGCTTCTATTTGTGGAATTTAAAGTGCAATTATAAAGGTCATGCTATAACATTTGCAAGGAAAAATGTCATACTGTCCTGTCTTTCTTGCTCATTCATGGATCTACATTTTCCTTCTTTCTTACAACCCTATTAAATATTCACCATATATATGGCATGTACATATTTATATAGAGAGATAGCATATATACAAGCATATATATGGTGCAGAGATATAGATTTGAGACAAAAGCCTGATGTCCCAAGAGAGCAGGGAACAACAGACAGAGCCCAGGAGAGTTGCTGTCTGCAAATTCCCGGCAAGCTGGGATTCAAGGCAGCAGATAACAGCTTCTCCTGCAGGCGCCTTGTCCTTTGATCCCCTGCTTGGGATGTTATGGGCTAGCACTTGTGTGGACCTAGTGCTAGCCAAATGGTGGAAGTTAATAGAGACAGTAGTTTGTATTCACTTAGGTAATTATGCACATTCCTTAGTCTGCCTTTACCCCTCAATAAATGTGAGATGCTTCTGAGGCTCTGGTCTCACTTGGAAAGAGACTAAGCTCAGTGAGACCTCTGATGCTACATTCATCAGGTCTTCTCATCGTTTCTTTCAGAACCGACCTGTAGCATACAACAATATGGCTTTATTTTTTATTATTTTTGTTAGTATGCCACAGAGTTAACCTGTCTTTTTTTAAAATGTATGTATTTGGTACAGGGTTTCACTACACAGCTCATACTTTTAGTGATCCTCCTGTTTTCAGCCTCCCTCCCTAGCACTGGGATTACAGGCGTGTGTCACCATGCCAGGACTTGGTCACCAGTTCAGTGTGCCTGGGGGTGAGGAGGCCAGCACAGCATGTGGTGTCCGGGATCAAACCCTGGTCCTTGTGCTTGCCTAATCAGGTGCTTAGTTCACTGAACTATCTTACAGGCCCTGTCTTCTTTTAAAGGACAGTTGTTACCTCTTTTGTTTTTCATTGTAATAGTTAGTGGCACATAAACAACTATGAGTAAGTAGCTCATTTTGGGAAAAAAAACAACAAAACCCTTTTCAGCTCCAAGCCAGATATTAACATATTAAAAGAATAAGAAATGGTCACATTGCAGTCCAAAACATCATACCAATTTATAATCCTCCAAGATACCAGATTCACTCAAATTCTTATAATCCTGGGTCTTATGCACTATCCACCCACCTGCAATTTAATAAATGAAAAATTCTATTTCTTTTTTTTGGCAGAACCAGGGATTAAACTCAAGCCCTTGCACTTGCCAGGGAAGTGCTTATTCTACTGAGCCATCTCCTTGGCCCCCAATTCATTGTTTTAATGAGATGTGACTTTTAAAATGTGTTTATTTACTATTCCAAGTCATGTATAGCTCGCGAGCAAAGATAACACTTAATAATACAACATGAATTACATGGATCAATTTCTTCTTTGCATTTTATCATATTATATATGCTAAGGTCTATGGATTTGAATACTAGTACACTTTCTCCATTGCATATTACTTCCTTTAGGAAAAATGTTCTCAAAAAAGAGACAGTGGAAAGCTGGCACATAAAATTTTGCATCTTATAATAAAAATAACTATGTTGATATATTAAAATATCTGTACTTTATTGCTCTGAAACACAAACTATAAAACAAAATTAGCTCATCAGTAAGAAATCAAACTGCCACCGCAACATGTCTTCTAAAATACTAGCACATGGCATCCGTTTTCTCCAAGGTACCAACACAACATTTATTAAGAATTCTACAAAACTCTAAAATTCAGGTTCAAAAGTGAAGCTCAGGGTTTTAGGAAAGTGTGTATGCATATATAAAGAGCTGATGTGCTACAGCTTGGTCAGTGCCTCAGTAGTTCTAAAATCTGACTCTTCCACTGATACTAACATGCAGAATCTTCAGAACAGATAATTTCTGTTTTGCTCCTCAAGTGTGAACTTTATTTTTCTGTTCCAACAAAATCATGTCTTGGTACTACAGAGAGTTAAGAAAGGTTTCATTCCAAAAATGGAAACTTATTTGGGTATAAGTCAAAATATACTTTTAATATGAAAGCAAACTTATTTAGAAGTTAGGTTCTTAGGCTGGTCTACAGAACATGGTTAACTGCTGAGCTATCTGACTACAGCACTGATTACAATTTTTTAATTACACAGCTTTAGTCAACAGTTGTTCACAAGCAGACTACATGCACTGTCCCCAATTCCCTGGACCCTCCTGGGACATGGACCATCTCAGGCAGGAAGGTGGGATTTTCACTGGCACACAGACATCTACTTCTCAATTTCCTTGACAGATGGAAATGCGATATATTTGGAGAAAGAAAGGTAAAAGGATTGCCAGCAGAAGTGTGTTCAGTTAGAGAATTTGGGAGAGATTATGTAAGTCAGCAAGATGCAGTAAAAAGCCAACAAGCCAGGAAGAAGTCTGTCTCATATTTATTCATGAACAAAAGAATGTGGATCCCAAATGTGGTTAAAATTTGGCTAATGCAGTGAAGAAGCAGCAAGCCCCACTCTCAGCTGCCTCTGGTATAATGCCTGTTTTTCATGTTAATAATAAAAAGGGGCATTTAAATGAAGTGATAACCACAGGAGGAGCAACCAGCACCCAGGAGGATTTAGCTTCTGCTGGTGAGTGGGGTCTGGCGGCAGCAGCAGCGCAGGGCACTATGGGTGAGTTCCTGACACAGTAGCAGTAGATTAGGCTGAGAGCACACCCAAGTGTCTGAGAATCTCCCTAGCGTGGCACCTGCAGACCCCCATGACCTGCTCTTAGTCATGCAGGTAAGCCGCCACCCCCTTCTATGCTTGCCAGCACAGGGGCTTGGAATGAGCCGCACTTCTGAAGGGAGCAAACGTACAGGCAGACGAGACAACACACGGGAAAGCAGAGAGATCGAGCACAGGACACAGGCCTGGCTGTGCGCACAAAGAAACTTCTGAAATAAAAGCCATTCTTTCAATGGCTTTGAATTAAAGGAAACACCTGCACGAGCAGAGGACATGGGGAATTCCTCAGTTCATGATGTGGATAGGAGCACACGTAGGTTATCCGGGGAGCTTTCATGAGAAGAAAGTGTTTCAGGTCATTCTTTTATTAACAAATGTTTATAGTGCATAGTGTCTCCCTTCCTTCTGTGGAGTTGGTCCACATGCAGAGCACGTCTTAAATTCTTTTCTCATCGCTTCACCCTCCTCTACTTCTCCCACCCTCATCTCCTGATCCACTTTCCCTTTGAGAACCATTTATCTCCCTGCCTGCTGTTATCTTTTATTTAGCTCTTAAGTTATTTATACATTGGGTTTCTCATATAACAGAAATCATGCGTTATTTAAACTTGGGTGTTTGATTTATTTCATCTATCATTATGGTCTCTAGATGCATCCATTTTTAAGCAATACAGAAGTGAAAGTTATGCCCAGTGTTAACATTTTCAGAACTTACCTCTGAAAGCACTAATATCGCCATAATGTACCTGCAAGACAAAATATTTACTGCCACTCTCTCCGCCAACTCTGAATCCAACACCTAAAAATTTACCAAGAAAGACAAATTAGTATTTTAGAAATGGAAGAAATAAAGTGGAGCTTACATGACTAATCTATAAAATCCAAACTGAAGTAAAACAGAACATAACCAAATGATGTTATATAAAAACAAATACAGTAGACATGGAGCAAAATTCCCATCACATGTTATTCCTTCTCAAAGCTCTATGGGATTCTATTCATAGTTCCCCTTTTGGAACCAGAGCAATCACTTCCTTATACTTTAACAGGACAATTCATTCATCATGAAAAAAGTGGAATAAAATGGAATGGAATTCTGTCTTCGTTGATCATTTAACAGATTACCTAAGCCATTTTTTAATCTAGTTTTATAATACTCATTCATTTTTATTTTCAGACTGCATACAGGAAATAGACTTCATAAGAACATCTCAGGGGAATTATATTTCTGTTTATATACAAACAAGTGTCCACAAAATTGTCACCAAAGAAACCCAGTTACCAACTAAATTCCTAAGTCCAGCATGCCAGTGAATATTTGGAATCCAAAAGGTTTACAATATAGTGAGTTTGCTAATGAGCTTTTCAACAGTCTACTGAAACAACAGGCAGAGAAAAGTTTTATTCTATCTGCTCTAAAAATGTCCACTAATCCCTGACAGACCTCCTGACTAGTGTTTCAACTTGCTGGGGTGTGGCTGCAGAGCACACTAAGGAGAACTTGAAGCAACAGAAAAATTAGCAGCTGGTGGTTCAGCTCGAAGCAAAAGGCGAGCGACGGGCACCCGGATCAGGAGCCCGAAGCACAGAACCACAGGCTGCCCCTGATACTGGGAGATGCGTAGCTAAGCAAGTAGCACCTCTCACACTGGCACCTAGCAGTGGTGTAGAAGTGAAGTCAGGAAGCCAGCGGAGCCCTCACATCACATTAAATACTTAGGTTCCAGGACTATTAAAAAAAAAAAAAATCTGTTTGCTGAAACAGCAATTTATTTAATTCCTGACTCTCTTGGCTCATGAACTGCTGCTGCTGCTGTCAAGAGCCAGTGTGCCTCAGGCCAAAGGTGGCTTGAGGTACACTCAGTTATTTTGTAATTCAATCTATAAACTGTGATGAGGGCAAACTGCTTCCCAAAGAGAGGCGGAGAAAACGTACCTCAGTGAAGCCTTTCACCACAAGCCGGCTGTGCAAGTGCTGTACTGGGCAGCTGAACTAATTCTCAACAATCACTAGAAAGTACATTTTAAAAAGCATTCTGGAGGGGAAAAAAGCATTCTGGAGAGAAGTAAACCTCATTAATGCAAGACTACCAAGAGGACTCTACTGTACCTTTGGGAAGCCTGGTAGGGGGAGCATTTCTGGCCCAGGCATACAGAATGTTGGCTTTATCTGTACAGGTTCCTTCATCACAAAACCTGGAGGAAAAGTAGTTACAGTGAATATTCAATTAGTGGAATGCATAAATCATTCTCCACTGGGGAGGCATTTAAAAGCATAGCACAACCATACATCATGATATACGAAGAGAAGCTTAAGATATCCATGGAACAAACATTTTCTATATGAAAAAAGCAGCACTGAAAGGACAGGAGTTGAGCTGAGGAGATAGCTCAGTAGAATATGTGCTTGCCTGGCAAGCACAGGGTTCCTGTGTTCAATCCCCAGTGCCCCAAAAAATAAATAGAATAAAAATAAAAGGAGAGGAGTTATTTCTACTTTATTTGACCATTGCCTTGCATAAAACATTCCTGTGCATGAGGTGTATAATTTATACTTTGATATGTTCAGGTATGGAGTACAGACCAGGTAGTTGGGAAGAGTAGAAACCAATGCACTGGAAACCCAGAAACACTAAAAGAAATTTCATACATAATTCCCCTCCTGGCATCAGGATTGTCATCAAAAAATCTGTGGCTAACAGAACCAGAGCGCAGGCTGGCGAGTGAGTGAGATGACCGAGGGCCGCGGGATCCTGAATAGACCCAGAGCGCAGGCCCCGAGAGTGAGTGAGAAGACCTGGGGCCCAGCGGGACCCTGAATAGACCCAGAGCACAGGCCCGGCCAGTGAGTGAGATGACCCAGGGTCTGTGGATCCTCATTCGACCCAGGCTGCAGGCCCAGCAGGAAACCCTTCAGCAGAACTCCCTGCAAAGAGGCTAGAGGCAAGACCCACCCAGCTGATTCAGAAGCAGAGCATCTTCCCAGAGAGGCACAAAGGGTTCAACTCTAACGTCTGCAGCAGAAAGAAGTAGAGCACAGCAGCCAGATCCAAGCAACACCCACCTGGAGGAATCTGAACTTCGTAGATCCGGACCTGGTGCTAAGGTAATAACTCTAAGCTCTATACTAAAGGTCAGAAGACAGTGATATACAAAATGACAAAGAGAAGGAATAAAATGCAGTCTCAGGCCCCGAGTCCACCTAGTGCAAATGCAGAAGACACTAGGACTGAGGAAACTGGAAATCACACACCAGATATCTCTGAAATAATAGCACTGACAGTAAAGAATCAACTGCAGAAAGGTATACAAGAAATAATTTCGGAACTAAAAATGTACTGGTAACTATAATCAAAGAAGTACTAAGTGCTTCTAAAGAATACACTGATAAAAAAAATAGAGGAGAATATAAAAATGATGGAACCCCTGAATA